GTCAGGATCCCGTGTTCCTCTTTCCCGGACACATGGACATCGGGGGGCTCTGGAATGGGATAACGGTGAGATCCATCCATGGAATTCCATGGGAATGGCATTGGAGGGAGATCCATCCACAGAATTCCCATTGGAATGGGACAACAGTGGGATCCATCAGGGGAATTCCCATGGGAGTTGGATGACTCAGATTCACCCACAGAATTCCCATGGGAATTCCCGTGTTCCTCAGTTCAACCCTCCCAAATCCCACCTTTCCAAATCCCGCATTCCCATGGGAATTCTGTCTCCCTCACCTTTGCACTCCAGCGCCTCCCGCCCGTATCCAACAAATCTCCGGAGCGCTTCTGGACAGGTGTTCTCTAGGTAATGTGTCAGTCTCTCCACCACGATCCCATCGTGTTCCCATTTCCTCTTGGTGATCTGGGCAGCTCCATCGGCCGCCACGAAGCTCCCGGATCCCAGCTCGAAGGAGATGAAATCCCGCCCGTCAAAGCTGAACCGATCGGATCCACGGACGCTCCCGTCGGACAGGAGGTCACAGCCATAAAGCCGCTGCCACGTGTGGAGACCTGGGGGGTGGGATTGGACCCATGAAGACCCTGGAATTGTGTCCCAGCTCCACAGAGCCCCATTCCAGCCCTATGGAGCCCCAGAGTCCAATGGAGAAACACAGAGTGTCATCCTGGCCCCTTGGAGTGCCCTGGATCCCCATCCCAGCCCCACACATCCCCCCATTCCCCCGCTCCCCCCACTCACCCCCACTCTGGTTGTAACGGTCCCTCACTGTCTCCAGGTTGTCGGCAGCCACGAGCCGGCTCCTCTTGTAGATCTGGGTCACTTCATCCCAATATCCCGGCTCGGCTCCGGCCGCCATCCACGGTGTCAGTGGCTCTGCCTGGCCCCGCTCGCTGTCGTAGCGCGTGATGGGGATCCCATCCACGTATCCCATGGACAGGTATTGAGGGATCCCTGGGCTGGGCTCCGTCACCGCCACGGACAGGTAACGCAGGGAGTGGAGAACTGGGGGGACACGGAGATTTGGGGGGTTTCGGGGCGTCCATGGGTCAAGGAAAGAGGGACCTGAGAGAGCTGGGAGAGCCAGGAAGGGGATTTGGGGATCCCAGGGCCAAGGAAAGGAGGGTGTAGGGACTAGGAGAGGTGGGATGGGACATCCGGTCCCGGTGCGGGAAAGAGGGTGCAGGGGGGTCCCGGTGCCCAGAAATGGAGGTTCAGGGAAGTGCCGGTGCCCAGGAATAAAGGCTGAGGAGTTGCCCGTTCCAGGGGTCCCACTTACCCCTTTGAATCACTCCCACGGCCACTTGGGGACTCATTGCCCTTCCCTGGGCATAAAAAAAAAGGCCACAACTATATTGGCCTGCAGTAGTTTTGAAGTGCTCTTTGGGACACAAAAGTCCTTTATTTCCCCAAACCCAGTGTCTTTGGGAGTATTTTCCATGGGAAGTTCCTCTGTTGTTCCCCCCAGGTCTGTTTTCTCCTCTTCCTCCCCCACCTGTTTTTTGCTCCAAAATGCCCTAAACTGCAGCCTGGGGAGGAGTTTGGGGGTTGGAGACAGTAAAAATCACTATATCAACTAAACCTTCTTGAAAAATCAAGTGTTTGGGTGGGAAAAATGATCCTTTCAGTTCTTCCTTTGCAGACACAGGCAGAGGGTTCTTACCTGAAGAATATTTACCTATGGAGGAAATGCTGGGTGCAGGGGCTGGTAATAATTGGAATTTGTTGATGTCAGGGTTTATGGAGAGTTTCAATAAGTGTGGAAACTCTTTGCAGCTGCCAGTGCCCCACCAGCAGCATCCACATTCTGTGCCAGTGGATGCTTGTCCTGTTTCTTTGGCTTCTTTCCTTCCAAATATTCCACCAATGGCTCTGGTGGGGTCAGTTTTGCTTTGCTGAACCTGTGAATGTTGAACTTTGCTTTGGGGAATAGTGCATGGCCAGGGAAAGGCTGAGCAGGGAAAGAATTTAGGAAAAACCATGAACCAGATGGGAAAATGTTCCCGATGTGGGAGGTTGGAGCAGCAACAAGAGGAGCGAGCAAAGGCTGGGACAGGAGTGAACAAAAACCAGCCCTGGGGAAAGGAAGAGGGTTAGAAAAAGGCTGTGACTGCCTGGGGGCACTTTGGGGGATTATCAGCTCTTTGTGGGTTTATATTTGGCCCATGAGGCGTCCTGGCAAAGCCCCAGGACGGAGCAGGACCTGCCCAGGCCCCGGA